CACACACAGGGCACACATAAGGTCGTGCGCCCGAGTGGGTACGCTCGTGCACGCGTAGAGTATCTTTTCGGGCGAATCGCTGGATGCATATACTGCAACGATACGGCCTCTCCGCCGTGTGGGTCCGCTGGTGCACCTTGAGTTTATCCCGCTGCGAAAAGCGGCGACCACACACGTCGCACGCGTGCGGGCGAATACCCGAGTGCACACGCAAGTGGACATGAAGGGTGTCACTTCGGGCAAATCTTTTCGGACACAGATGGCAGGCAAACGGTCGTTCACCTGTGTGAGTCCGCATGTGCAGTCGGAGTTTGTCCCGCTGGGAGAAGGAGCGGGAACACTCGCTACAAACATGGGGTCGAACGCCTGAGTGTACAGAGGCGCGATGTATTTGTAACTTGTCCCGTCGGGCGAAGCTTTTTGGACAGCCATCACACGCGTAGGGCTTTTCGCCCGTGTGTACACGTGCATGGATTTTCAGTTTGTCTCTTTGTGCAAACTTTTTGGGGCAGAGGTCGCAAGCAAATGGCTTCTCCCCCGAATGGGTGCGCAGGTGCAGTTTCAGCTTATCGCCGCGAGAGAATCTCTTTGGGCAAAGGGTGCAAGGGTATGGCCGTTCATTGGTGTGTGTCCTGCGGTGAATTTGCAGTTTGTCTCGCTGTGTAAACGTCTTCGAACAAAACTCGCAGGCATATGGTCGAATACCTGTATGAGTTCTGGTGTGGATCTGTAACGTATCTCGGCGGGCAAACTGTTTTGGACACGACGTACACTGATAAGGTTTATTGACCAGCAGTTGATTGCCCGTTGTATTGTTAGTAGCCGATGTGTTTGTTCTCGTGCTGTCTTGAAGTCCTGTCATATCTGCTGAACTGATAGATTTCGGTACATCATTATTGCTGGAAGTAGCAACGTTGGGAAAAGACTGCATTTGCAAATTGCTTAGAACCTGTTGGGCGGAATTAGGATGTGGGACCACTGCGGGTGATCCAAAGGGAGACATCATTGATTGATTTTGAGGTGCTTTGCCAAGGAACGGTGTATGTTGTATCTTTGAAAGAGGGTACATCACAGATGGTTGGATATTGTTAGCATTTGATGTCTGGGCAACGTCATTTGTTGTTGACGAAGACGGTCTCTGTTGCTGTTGGTTCACATGTGAAGTTTTGGACGAAGCAAAGGTTGGTGAGGGCTGAGACTGGATCTTAGCCCTGAAAGTAGTATCTGGGTGGGCTTTTGTGGGGGTACCATAAGATGGTGAAGACGATGTAAGCGGTGTTGCTTGTTGCGGTTGTTGGTGGTGAAGTTTTTGCCTGTACACCTGTTGTTGCTGCTGGTGATGGTGGTGGTGGGGGGGTTGCTGCTGTTGCTGGGTTGCATTGTACCCTTGGGTTAGCTGACCATGGTGTGGACCCTTAAATCCAGCTTTCATGTTCCCAGTTCCGCTTGATGTCAAGACTTGTTTTTCATTAGTTCCCATGCATTGTGCTTGCAAATAACAATTTTGCACAAATTGTTTGGTATAAACATCAGTTGGTGTCTGCAAATAACAGCCCTGGTATAAATCAGCAGCTGCCATGAAGGGCTTCTCTCCTAGAGGTCCACTGATCATATGAGTAGCTTGTAAACTATAAATTTGTGGAAATTGTGCCCCCAGAAAATCACAGGGAATTGGCTTGTCCCCAAGATAGCCTTCCATAATTTAAAAAAAATTTAGTGAAAAGTTTCAGGAATTTTTTGTTTTTGCTTTTCTTTTTGGTAACTTTTTATATTACCATTTTAGGTGCTCCCTGTCAATAACCATAAACGATTTTACAAGTATAATCATGAAATAGTAGTTCTGTAGTTTTTTCAAGTAGTAAACTAAATATATATATTTTTTTGATTCAGTTTGTTTCTTCTTTATCTGAATCTCACCAACCTGGCATTTTTGATTAAATTGTTTAACATATCTGATAAAATGTTCCTTGGGATCAATAAATAACTCAAAATGTGTATCATCAAAAATTGACTACCTAATGATGTGAATCTCAAGTGATATATATATATATATATATATATATATATATATATATATATATATTGAAATTATTCATGGAAACAATCATTCCATTTATTTTTTTTTTTTTGGCTTTCAAGAAACATGCATATTTCTAAAGATATTAAATTGTGGTTTAATTGTAAGAAAATGGATTTCAATTTCTAATAATATCATTTTCATCAAACTTTCAAATGATTTAAATATTTCTTTGGCCCAATACTTATTTAAAAGTTTATTAAAATGCTTCCAAATTAAATTTTAATTTTCCTTTACAAAGTTTGTTAAATCAATCTCATGAAAATGGGGAAAATTAATTTAGAATATCTCTTTATGAGAAAGATAATTGAAAATATTGGGTAATAAAATAAGCACATCCCATCTCCCATCTCACTTGTAACCATCCATCACAATAAATTAAATGTTTTTCAGCACAGAAGAAAACGAGTCAAATAAAGTTTTATAAGCTTCTACTGTGACTATATTATAAATATCTTGCAGTTTTTTTGTTTTTTTAACCATTAACACTCTGCATTACTAATATTACTTCCTTTTTCACTGGATACTTTTTCAAAACCTCTCAGTTGCAGTAAGCTTATTGCTAATTTCACTCAAAGGTGTTTTCTGTTGCCATATCAGGATATGACAACACAACTAAGAGATTCAAATTCAGGGATCAGAGTGACATTCAGTGGCAGGATAAACTTTTTGTACAGCAAATGAAATTAAATACAGATTGATAAAGATTAAAAAAATAATCAAGATTTTAATGTAAGCAAAATATATCTTGACAAAAGCAGGAGAAATATTTTTTCATAAATAAAATTGAAAATATCATATTTATAAGAAACAGTTATGTCAGGATGCTTGATTTTATGTCAATCCTTGTTGAGTTATTTAATTTCAAAATTTGTTTGGGCACCCAATGATTATTGGAGTCAATAATCTGTAGTAATCATCAACCAAATTATCCTTGTTAACCATTACATCATTCTGAGGTATCTTATATTTATAAAATTTATGATTAATAATCTTTTAGTAAAATGAAATCCTCGTGTGAAAATATGCTGTTAAGAAAATTTTCTGACATTTAAATTTTGAAAGACATTTTTATCACCTGCTAAATAACATTAATAGTAAACTAATTCTCCAAGTTAATTCTTTTTAGATAATTTTATCTGCTCAGAGCTATTTTCAACACTCTGAGAATACAAGACAATTTATTACTTATATTTTTATATACGTATCATCTCAGCTGTAAACAAATATTCCATTTATAGCCATACTTTATGAAAACTAATAAGAATTTAAGAAATTCTTTCCAATATAAAACAAAAGTTGTATTTGTTGCTAGAAAAATTGTTAACAAATTAAATTACTTGACTAATTAAAGTAAATATTGATATTACATTTTACACTAATATATTGTTATCAACATATAAATTTAATATTGCAAATATTATCCAGTACAAATTTCTCTTTGAAAAACAGATTTTTTATCACAGGAACAATTTTTTTTTTAGCATGTATTTTTATTTTATTTTACCCAGAGAGGGCATTAAAATAATCATTTGTGTAGTTAAATCCTCTTCTTAGTTATATGACGGCTAAATCACATGTAAACACAGACCAGATAGGCCTTCAAGATAGGACCAAAAACGTGCTTAATATTCAGAATTGATAAAAAGATGATCAACTTATTTAAAAATCAACTACAGGTAGGTAATGATGGCAGAAAAACCAGAGATGAATTTAATTAAGTCATTTCTAATAAGCGGGCCTGGAAATAAGAAGACTGTGAGTTTTACTTTGTTACAAGTGAAAATCTCTATACTAAGTAGCTTGCCTGGAAATGGTCTATCTCATGTACTTTTCTTAAAGGCTATTGTGGACTATTTGATATAAGTTTCATCTTTTGTGATATCAAAACTAAGAACTGCATCCAGTTTTTCAACTAATTAAGGGATGGGATAATGTTATATAGATATATAGATGTCACATATATATATATATATATATATATATATATATATGTATGTATGTGTGTGTGTGTGTGTGTGTGTGTGTGTGTGTGTGTGTGTGTGTGTGTGTGTGAATAGAACCCCTAAATATGTAAACCCTCAGAAATCTCTTTCTGACCACCCTTGTTTCGAGAAAATGGTTATTTGCCTGAATATTTGCATCTGGAATAACTTTGTTTAAACAGATGAAAAATAAAGATGTTATACACCAAACACTTTCTTTTAACAGTTTTCTAAAAGATATAAAAAGTATAATGTGTGAATTTCAAATCAGAAAAGTTCTGTGAGTAGCAAATCTGAATTCTTACCTATGATAAACCTTATGTCGAGTGTGGATTGTTTTCTGATGAAATTCTATAAAATTTTGCATGGCAGTTAACCACAGGATTCTGTAATTAGTTTACTCAAAGAAAAATTTTACTTGGTAAAGAAAAATAATATTATTATTAATAAATGTATTTTGCCTGATCTTTATGCAACTGGCCTGTCAGCAGTATTGCTTTTTATCATCTGAGGTAAATAAACAATTTGAAAATGTAATTGTTTAAAAGTTAACAAGATGAAAGATTTTTTTTATCAACTTCCAACATTTTTAGAATCTAAATATTTTTCTAATGGGACAAATTGTCTATTGTTTTTTTTAAGAAATAAAAATTAGGTTTAAATAAACAAACCAGTTCACACTCCTTCTTGGTTTTTGAACAGGAATAGAGGTTTATACCTTGTTTTCTGTTTAGGATTGGGTTTCCAGTTCCATCTAAAGTCTGTTCATTTGCTTGTTTTCCCAATCACAACAATCTCGACCTTTTCAAGTTTACAGTTAACCAGTATCTTTCCTGTGTAACCCCTAGAGCTACACCTCTTGCTCTTTCTTATGCTCATACAACACCATACAGTAACTCTCTACCTTGAGTGACTCTTGGGCCCTGTATTGAGTGAATATTAGTAAAGAAAAAAAAAGAAAGAAATGTAAATATTTAATTACTTTGCATTAATTAAATATCTTCTAAATAAATATTTATGAATGTGATTCTGTTTATAATGTTACTTTAGTGTTAATCTGAATCATAAATCAACTTGCTTTGGGGATTACTAGGCAGTTAAAAAAAATTCTGATGGTAGCAATAATTAACAGCTCTTGTTAAAAAACTAATTGTAAATTGTATGGTTAGAAAATGTGAATGTATTCGACAAGAGGATCAATTTTATCCCAGGTGAAGAGAAAAGAAGTTGATTTGAATTCTCTGTTAAATTGGATGTAGAACAAAAATATTCAAACTGAGGTGTTTAGTTCCTTCTACTGTTACGTATAGGATTTGAATGCCACATTTTAGTAATAAATGCTAATGACAATTATAATACCTCAGTCCGAAGTTATAAGGAAAATAAACATTTTGTACCTAGAATTTAAGTTTTCTTTTGGAATATTTCTGTTTATGGAATAATTCTTTATTTGATAATGTGTGCATATGTATTGTTATAGTGAACTAATTATTGATATGTTATTAAAATGAATTGACCTAATGTCTGATTTAGAAGAGTTTTAATTTAGGAAATAGGCAAAAATATTGGAAGAAGTGAAAAGTTAGGTAAATAGCTTTAGGTCTTTCTATGCTTGAAATTAAGTGGGTAAAATTCTTGGCTATATTTTTTATTTTTTACTTTCAATTCAGTTTTAATAATGACTGACTTTTGAATAGCTTTTATCTACCGAAATAGATTTTATAGTGAGCAATTGATTTTCTGATTGTAAAGCAAATAAAAAAATAATACAAAATTATAACAAATAATGTTATTTATCTACCTTTCGAAAAGAAAAAAAAATCAAATAGAGCTTCACCCACCTGAAAGGGTCAAAGGAGTAAAGGAGTAATAAAACTCAAAATGACAAATCTATCTACATTTTTTGTTTTTGTTTTTCCTTAGCTTTTTTTTTTATTTATCCATTATCTTTCCTTCTTGCTTACAATTCTGTTTTAGTGTGAAAATTAACTGACACACAGGTGATGGCTATCTATCTATCTATCTATCTATCTATCTATCTATCTATCTATCTATCTATCTATCTATCTATCTATCTTGTGTGTGTGTGTGTGTGTGTGCGTGTGTGTGTGTGTGTTATTCAATCCCTGGGAAGCAACTCTTTGGTCCTAGGAAGACTGCACAGATACTTCACAGATCCTAGGCAGAAGTGCCAAACTATATGTAAATATTCACATCATTTTGATGGGTACTGTGCTAGTAGTAATGAAATAACCAACTTTATAACTTATAAGTTCATGTGCACAAATACAAATACATTTTTTTCTTTTAGAGGAATACACAAGTCACGCACTATTCCTTAAAATAACGATATGGAAATTTGTCTTGTCC